TACTGCCTATAAACAAGTAGCCTAAGTGTAGCCATCGAGGTGGAGAGAAGTGAACGTCTTAGAGAGACCGCCATTGGTTTTCTGGGGTAAAGTGTCTAAACAAAGCAAAGGGACACTGTGTTGCTGGAAGACTTTTATTCAGCCTGGAGTTGGCTTTCCCAATATAGGAACTCGTGGACATGCAGTCACTAGCATTCCAGACAACTGGATCATTCTAGGAACTTCGAGAGGTTATTAACTGCAAGGTGGTCAGATAGAACAATGTGAGTGCTGGTGCCCAGCCAGCCACATCGGCATGGTCTCCTGGGTGGCCCTGCAGCCTTCAGGCGGTTGCTGCAGGGGGTCAGTCCCTAACGGGCAGGAAGTTTCACTCTTTTCCCTCTCTGCAGGGTTGTTGAACACTTTCCAGATGAAGATCGTTCTGGAGGAGGGTACAGTGAGAGGGCTGCCTGCTTTTACTGTCCTGTTCCTGTCCCTCCTCCCCTTTTTGAGGCTCTGCTGTCTCCCTGACCCTGGGGTTCATGAGTTACTCCAGTTTCCTTCCCCAAACTCCCCTCTGCTTGAGCTGCTGTGAATGGAGTTTCTGTTACTTGCCACCGAGAGAGCTTTAACCAGTGGAGCCTCCCATGGCCTGGCCCCTGCCTCTCTCCCCAGCTTCCTTTCCTGACACCTCACATTTCATGCTGTCACTGTGTCGTGCCTCCTCGCCTTTGCTCCTATCTTTCCCTCTGCTGGGACATCTTCTCCATCTTTCTTTGTCTGGCTGAAACAGACACACCCACCTCAGGAAGCCTTCCCAAGTGTGCCTGTCACCTCTCCTATCAGTCAGATGTTCACTGCTTATCTGTGTGTCTCCCACGCTAGCCTCTAAGCTCCTTGGACGGGGACCAGGTCTTCTCCATCTGTACCCCAGGGTCTATTACAATGCCTGGTACATAATAGGTGTTTGTTTGTTGAAAGAAACTTGGAAAGGTAAACAGAAAAAATGGGTTTTCATTTCTGCAGAAGTGAGAGCAGCAAGTGAGGAAGAGAGTTACCCTGTGGGTAGATACCCAGAGAGGATGCTGGTCCCAGAAAAAGAGTGCTTGTAATGTACTGTAGTAAACCTCAGAGGGGCATTCTGAAGAGTGGTGCAGCGTGGATGGAATTAGATCCTCTTTTTCTCTTGCCATCATACCCTGTTTCTCTCTTCCCGAAACATCTCTGCCTCCCATTCTGCCAGTGCCATTGTATTAGGGGTTGGCACTGTTGGGTGACTTAGATTTAAAGTTCTCATTCCCTGTGGTCCATGTCCCTCATGACATGTCTGAATGGTGTCGGCTAATGAGGGACTAAGGAGGTTGCTGGAAAATGGGTGGGTCAGGACCCTGAATCCAGAGAGCCCAAGTCTATCTGAGCAAGTCGGAGAGGGCTCCAAAGAGGAGGTGGCATTTGGACTGAGACTTGAAGGATAATTAGGAGTTTAACAAGAGGATGGGGAGCCCAATGTGTTCGAGGAGCTGTAGGGACTGTGGACAATAGGTTAAAATTACTCATCTTAAGTGAGGGCAAGGTGTGGGGCGCCTGGGTGGCTCAGCCGGTTAAGCGTCTGCCTTCGGCTCAGGTCACGATCTCGGGGTCCTGGGATCGAGCCCCACGTCGGGCTCCCTGCTCAGTGGGGAGTCTGCTTCTCCCTCTCCTACCCCCGTTCCCCCGCCCACCGCTCATGCTCTCTCACTCACTCCTTCTCTCTCAAATAAAGTCTTTAAAAAAAAAAAAGTGAGGGCAAGATGACTGTCCAGAGAATCAAGGGGAATGATGGGGGGGAAGTGCAGTGTGCCTTGGACGTTTAACAGACTCTTCACTTTGTACATTTAATAGATCCTGAGAGTATGCTTTGCAGAATTATACATATACTTTAAATTGTCAAGCTTACTAGAGGACCTTCTGTGCAGCTACCATTAACAAGAAGCAAAGTGGTTAAGTATATAGACCCTGGAGTCGGATTGTCTGGGTTTAATTCCCAGATCTGCCTCTACCAGCTCTGTTACCTGGGGCAAGTTACTCGACACCTCCGTGCCTTGGTTGCATGATCTGTAAAATGAGAACAATAGTACCTCTCTCAGCAAGCCCTAGGGATAAGATAAGTGAGTTAATACACGAGAAGCCCTCAGAAGAGTGCCCCGCGTGCAGCAAACACTCACTGCCAGGCCCTAGTATGATTTCATTTCTCACGAGGTTGTTTGCAATCACCAGCCGTGCACTTAGTGCATGATCCCATGGTAATAATTACATGATTTTAGGTGTTCATTTGGTGTTGTTTCCCACTGGACCGTGCATTCCTCAAAGGCATTAGTTGAATAAATGTCTCTTTCCAAAGTAATTGAATTCGTGCTTTCAAGCATATTTCCTACTTACTACATTTTTGTGTTGGTAATCCAAGGGGAGAACTTTTCTTAGGATTTTGAGGGAGAAATAAGATTAGCTGGAAACTCCTCCATGAGGCTGGAAAATCCTTGCACACAGAAGCATTGTCTTCTGTGTAAACCCATGCCAGCTCCTTGAGACTGTTGGTGGAAAACTTGCTTCATGGAGGTTTTGTCCTGCTCAAAAGAGTTTAAAGAGCCCGGAGAAGTAAGAAATATCCGAACCTTCAACCTCGTCTGTTTGGCTGGACATTTTTTAGCAGAGCCTTGTTACAAAACTTTTAGCAAAGAAACTTCTTTCAAAGGGCTCTAACTCCTGAGAGGTGGGAAAATAAAGTTGAGTGGAGTTTAGACACCCTATGTACCCAGAGAAGCTGGCCCAGTGCTCCTTGTCTGCTTGTTTTGGTTGCCTGGGAGGAGAAAGGGCACAGAGGAGCTTTTCTGCTGAGACCACGGAATGAAAGTTAGAGTTGCCTTAGGAGATTGGCTCTGAGTGTGCAGGACCCAGAGGGCTCTGCAAAGGCTGGACCATAGCCCACAGAGGACAGACCAGGTGCCTGCATGTGTGCGTGGGTGTGGGTGTGTGTGTGTAACATAGGGATGGAGGTGGGGGTGGGGCTTCTGACCCCCCAGGAAGGCGGTCAGATGAGTCAACTGGAAGACAGAGATCTGAATTGTGGTTCTGTCCCTTTGCATCTGCATGACCTTCCACTGGCCTGGTTTTCCTTTTTTGCCATTGGACGGTTTGAGGTGGATTGTGTCTAAAGTTCTGTTTCTAGCGTTCAGATTCTGGCTCTGCCTCAGCACTGTTGGGCACAGTTTGGGTTGAGAAAGGCAGCATTTTTTTTTTTTAAATTTTATTTATTTATTTGAGACAGAGAGAATGAGAATGAGAGAGAGCACATGAGAGGGGGGAGGGTCAGAGGGAGAAGCAGGCTCCCCGCTGAGCAGGGAGCCCGATGCGGGACTCGATCCCGGGACTCCAGGATCATGACCTGAGCCGAAGGCAGTTGCTTAACCAACTGAGCCACCCAGGCGCCCGAGAAAGGCAGCATTTCTATCCATGCTCCCCACGTCACCCATCAGCACCAGGACCCTTATCTCCAGACTGCTCTGTGCAACCCTGACCTGACCCAGGCCCACTGCCATGCCAGCCTCCCTGCTGCAGGGTGGGGCACTCCTCTCCGTAGCCAGCGAGCTCCCAGAAGCTTCAGCCCTTTCTTGCCCCCTGCCCCCCACCCCCGGCTCATCTGTAACCTCCAAGGGGAGGCTGTTGATTTTCAGGCCTAGGATGGGAGAGGCCCGCTCCTCTCCCCCTTTCCCTTTCTAATCTCCCTCCTTCCTTCCACAAAGTCCCCAGCTCCCCTGAAGAGCTGACCTCAGGGCTTCGTCCTGATCACGGCTGTCTTCTCCCAGCTGGATCGCTTCTCGTTCACTGAAGGTGGTGAAGCTTGGCTCACTTCTGCTCTCTCCATCCCAATTCCCGTTGCCGTCTGTGGCGACTTGGCCATCCTCAGACGACTCTGGCGACACCACAGCCTCCAGGCGCGTCGACTTCCGCACCTCTGGTGCTCCTTTCCTCCACACACACACTCAGGTATTAGTTGACAGCACGTACACGATGGGCCCATTTAGAGAGGTTTCATGTATCTTTAAAACTGTGATACCTATAACTAGAGCGACCATATACTTTATTTTCCAGACGGGGACAATTTTGTGAATGAAAGAGGACACCGAAATAATTAAGATTATACTACTTTTGGAAATATTTACTTATTGATGACAAGTTGGCTTTTGTATTAAGGCACCTTACTTTTCGAATATAAAATAATCATATTCAAAAGCTATTTTCCAAAATAAATTTTCCTTCAAACAGTTAAAAAAACTTACATGTGTACATTGAAGAGACATTGAAAAAAACTCTTTTGTACTGATTCTCTGCATATTCAAAACCATAGGCAGAATAATTTTTCCTTGTACTTACTTAAGTTCTTTAATTAGTTTCTTAGCTGAATCTCTCACTAGTAGTGTGTGTCACTGGTATCTTTATAAAGAACTTCTTTTCTGAAAATAGTTTTTGTATTTTGAGGTTTTTGAACAAATCGCAAATTGCGATCGCTTTTAAAGTAAAATATATGGTTAATGAATTTGAAATTGCTGACACCTTTAATGGATTCTTCTCTGTAGACGTCAATATTTTTAGTTGATAATACACTCTCCAGGTACTGAGAAATTTGGTAAGCTTGGGGCAAATTGTGCTAAATGGATGATATCTTCCAATTGTTTTTGTAGATATTTTGTCCCAAGTATTGACACAGGTGTTACCTTTTGCCTCCATTCACAGCAGCATCCTCTTTTTTAAAGATTTTATTTATTTATTTATTTGACAGAGAGAGACACAGAGAGAGAGGGAACACAAGATGGGGGCAGAGGGAGAGGGAGAAGCAGGCCTCCCGCGGAGCAGGGAGCCCGACGCGGGGCTCGATCCCAGGACCCCGAGACCATGACCCGAGCCGAAGGCAGACGCCCAACGACTGAGCCACCCAGGCGCCCCACACAGCAGCATCCTTTAACACACACTTTTACAAAACACGATTTCTCAAGTAAGTCATCTTTATTAATGATTCTTTTGAACACCCCCCCAGCACACACAGATTTCATATCCTAATAGATGAATCCTTGGCAGAAGCTGGAAGTAAAAAGTAGAGCTCAACTAAACCCCATGCCGGCTTATTTTAATGCAGCTATTAATGATAATATCTGGTTAACACATGACAAATGCGGCACAGTGCTAAAGCTGGGTGGGACCCAGGAGAGCAGGCCTGACAGGGGGGCTCTCCTATCACACCGACCCGTCCGAAGTAGCTCCGTGGACCTCCATCCGTGCTAGCTCGGTGGTGCTGCCAGGGGGCTCTGCTCGGGCTCCTGCCCCACAGACCCAGATCCCACAGCTATTGGAATGGGGCCTGCCGCCCAGCATTGTGGTCTCCCGAGGGATTCTGGGCCAGATCCCCTTGGTCCTCCAGGGCCATTCCTAGACTGCTCCTAAAGCTACGGGAGGCAGGTACACAGTGATTCAGATAATAGAGAAAAGGGAGGTGAATCAGGAGTGGCCATGTCGCTGCCACATTTTCTCTGCGCCCGGTGGCTGTGTTGTTACCGTGGGCCAGGACTGAGTGCAGAGCAGGTGGCTCCGGGGAACAGGAAGAGCAGAGGGCGGTCCTGCCACACAGCCTGTGAACACTCTCCACGACACACTCAGAATGCCATCCTTTAAAACATTTAATTAAGCAACTCCTGTATGGTCGTCATAAAAATGAAATTTTTGAGGGTTACAGAATCCTAATTAGAAATAAAAAAGGAAAAAAAAACTTCACAAAAACTCTAGTTAAGCCTGTCATAAGTCCTGCACTCTAGTCTGAATATTTATTTTGAAAACAGTCGTCAAAATGCACATCTCCAGAACCCTCAAAATGATGTATCGTTTTGCCTCATTCTATAAACCTACGATCATCTTTCTCACTCCAAGTTTTGAAGTCTGCAGAACCACACTGGTGAAGAATAGGAAGAGCGCATGTGGGCGCCCAGCCCCACGCGCCCTGCTGCCCCATAAAGCGTCGGGGGCTGTGCCAGAGCCAGTCGGGAGAGCGGCATGGGCTGGGGCTTTACCTGCTCGGAATTCAGTTCCGAGGCTGTGAGTTGAACTCTGTGCAAATGTTCTGGATGACCCTGGGGACAATTCTGTACAGGCTGTCAAACTCATCTACAAAGAAGGCGTGGTCTTCGGCAGGGTGAGTGGCTATGACTTCCAGCTCGTCCTGGGCAGCCCATGCGACGCCTATCGCATAGGTGATCACTCCTGTGGGGACAAAGGTTAGATGAAGCCAGTGTGCCCAAGGAGAGGTACTGCGCGTGAACACTTGCCTTTCTGTTGCTCTGTTGGCACTTGTGTTGGGATGCAAACAAACTCAAAATTAGAAATGCTCCCCAAAGCATAAGCACCTGCTATACACCAACAGTAACAGAATTGATAGGGTTGCTATCTCATAGGAGTTTATAATCTTTGGGAGGAAGAGAACCCAGACAAAATGGAGTAAATAAATACGATTTTCATGTCCATGGGCAGTAGAAGGGATGATATTTTGGGACAAGTGAAACTTGATGCCATGCAGATGACATCACAATGCACATGCCTGCTCTACCTGTGTGTAGAGCCAAACAAAATCTCAGAGAGTTTTATTTGTTTACTTATTTTTTAAACGATTTTATTTTTTTTAAAGGAATCTCCATACCCAATGTGGGGCTCCAACTCACAACCCCGAAATCAAGAGTCTCATGCTCCCCTGACTGAGCCAGCCAGGCTCCCCTCGGTTTTATTTTATTTTATAATTTTTTTAAAGATTGATTTATTTATTTTATGGGGAGGAAGGGCAGAGGGAGAGAGAAACTCTAAGCAGACTCCACGCTGAGCACAGAGTCCAATATGGCGCTCGATCTCATGACCCGGAGATCATCACCTGAGCTGAAACCAAGAGTCGGACACTTAACAGACTGCACCACCCAGGCGCCCCTCCCCTCAGTTTTAAATGCATCAAAAGTCAGGTCAAGATCTTCCTAACCTAAAACAGTGGAATCGAATTACTTTAGGCTTGAAGGTGACTTTACAAGCCATAAAATGCAATCTCGTTCCCAGTGTAGAAACCCTTGCACAAGGACCCAGAGAGAGGGTGACCCAGCATCTGCTCCATCACTGACATGAAGAAAGGTTTTCAAGTTAAGGGAGTGACCAGCAGTGCTGAATGCTGCAGGAGGTCACGTGAGATTAAAACAAAGTGCTCGCTGGATTTAGAAAAAACCAAGACATTGGTAGCTTGGTGAGAGCAGTTTCGGGGGCACAGATGCCAAAGGAACCAAATGAGCTGCTGTGTGTTGAGAGTGAAAAAAGCAATGAAGATGTGGGCGTGCAGCACATAGAGCTAACCCTTTCCAGAAGTTTGGCTGTAAAGAGAAAGGGAAGGGGAGCAGAGTTTGTTTTTGTTTTTTTGGGAGGGATCCAGCATGTCTAGATGCAAATGGGAAAGAGTGCAGGGGGACCAAAGCTGCAGGACTGCAGTGGGGAGCAAGAGGCCAGAGGGAGGAGAGGACAGACTCAGAGACTAGGCATCTATTCTCAGTGGGGAAGCTGGGAGACTGGTGGGTGGTTCTTGATTGGGGTTGGGGGCGGCTGGCCAGCAGGGCCTTGACCTTACTCTACAAAAGCCTGTTCCCATGCCTGGCATGGGAGGCTGGCAGAGTGGGGTCAGCTACATGGCCATGAAACAGAGGGAAGAGCCAGGGTGTGGCCTTCCTGCCCAGCCACCCGTGGCATCCCATGCCACCATGTCCAGCATCTCCCCAGTGCCCTGTTCTGCTGATCGGAGAGCAATCCACACCTCGCATGGTTCTGGCCCTAAGCTGCTTTTCAACTGTGGCTCATTAAGCTGCATTTAAGCTGCCAGTCCCTTCTCTTACCTCACCAGTGTCTTTTCTCTGCATATTGTCTACATTGTTGTCTACGAACGTGAGCATTGGGCTTAAACATGCTGCCCAGAGGCAGTGGGAACAGATTTGCTGCAGAACATGGCTTAGACGGACTAAGCCCTCGTTTTAGCACAAAGATTGAAAGGCTGCCCCCCAGTAAAGACAACACAAACGGTATTCAAAATTCAGCTTTTCGGATCCTCGAGTCTACCCTCTTGGGAACCTTCTACTAGCAATTCTGACAGATGGTCAGCCAGCCCTGCTGTGGACACTTCTAGGGACACAATGCTCATTGTCTCCATGTAATTGGCATCTATTGGTAAAGGCTTCCCAGGACATCTCCCTCAATCTTCACTTCTCCTGATGAGGAGGCCAAGGATAGCCTTTGGGTGAGGCCAATGGAAGTCCACTTAGAAAAATAAGTAAGAGTGGGGCTGACCGTGAGCTGGAGACAGATGTTTGGACATAGCAGGAGAGCCCTGGGCTTGTAGTCAAGAGCTGGCCCACCAGGCTCTGCCCACTCACTTTGGAACTTTTAGTAGGTTCCTTCTGAGCCTTCAACCATCTCCACTCTGCGGACATGAGCCCAAGGGATGCTGTGACTGCTGGCGCGCAGACCATCCCCCACCTTGCCGTTGTGAGTCTGCCCCACAGGCTCTACAAGAGTGAATCACTGCTTGAACCTGCTGTCGGCTTACTCTGGTTTCCAGAAAGCAGAACTGCTGGTCCATTAAGGCTTGTTTGTTTTTACCCCTCCTTGTTTAGGGAAGGATTCAAAGCAGCTTTAAAGAATACTGAAAATCCTGCAAACTAACAGAAATTAAATACAGGCACAGAAGGGAGCCACCCTGGCCCCAAGTGAGTCTTGTACACTAACACTTATCTATGGGTCGTGGGTGTTCACTGACAACTTGGTTTACTTTTATTATCGTTACTATTATTATTATCATTGGGGGTTTTCTTCAGGTTGTTTGTATTTTCATGGTATTTTATGGTACTTTTGAAAATGGTGATTAAACGTTGATTCTGTGGAAAAAGGCGTTAAATGTGACTGATTTTCTAAGCATTTACAAAAATATTTTTGCTCATTTTTCATGGTTTTAAACTCTCTGTTGCTCTCTTACAAATTTTTACTTGGAAATATCTCTTTAAATACTTTGGATGAAAATTCCTTTGAGGTCTCCTCAAAACCCCCAACAACTGGCTAGCAGTTGCTTACAAAAAATAGTACTTTTCTTTTAAAACGCTAGTTTTCTTCAAATTTCTAACACAATTTAGTGGTCTTCAGTAGAGATTACAATAATGAGTCAAATTCCTTTTCAGTGTGTTACACCTTCGTGTGTAAGGCCTCAGAGCGTCGGACGTAAAGGAGAGGGCTGATGTTCCCGGTCACCTGTAGGCCTGGGGTTTGCCACGACACTTTGGAAACCACCTCGGGGCTCCCGCCTTTCTCCTTTGCTGCTCAGCGAGGCTAGTCATGTTTAACAACACCCCCAATGTGTTCCCTGTGGTTTTGAGCATTTTATTACGTGGTCGACAAAACCAGAGCCTAAGAAGACGGCCCCTTCCTTGTCCCACTGGCCCACCATGGCCCCGAGATGCTCAGCAAGACCAACTTACCCTTGTGATGGGCAACCATGGCCGGTATTCGGACGTCGTCGTAGGACCTCCCATCAGTGATGAGGATCATTAACTTCCTCTTGTTGGGCTTGGACTTCTTGAAGAGCTGTTCCAGGGCGTAGTTTATGGCGGTCCCTGTGCTGGTCCCACCGCTCCAGTAGCCCACCCTACTGATGGCACTGAGGACGTCGGAGCTGGTGGTGTAATCTTCAAACCCAAATTCCAGGCGCTGTTCGTAGGTGTACTGCACAGCCCCGATCCGCGTGTCTGTTTCTGAAATCTCAAACGCTTTGGTGATGTTGGCCACAAACTGGAGAACTGTGCGGAAGTTGCTCGTGCCCACACTGCTGGAGCCGTCGATGAGAAAGCCGATGTCGGCGGAGTTCCAGCAGGTCTTGCTGCAGGCCAGGCGGTCAGTGTCACAGACCCGCTTCAGCAGGGGCTGCACGATCTTGTGGAGGCTGAACCAGCTCTGCACACTGAGCGAGTAGAAGCCGTTCGTTCTGCACACCGCCTGCAAGACAGAGGGGAGGGGTACTCGCCAGCTCGGGTGTCGAACTCTCCAGGCGGTCACCATGACCCTGACCGCCAGGGCAGGCAAAGAAAGAAGCAGACAGACTCTTGTTTTCTGCACTCTTCTTTCCTACAGCTCTTTCTCTACCTCGGTCCACCCAGTCAGATGCCCACTGGGGTCAGCCCTGGACTCACTCCTACTCCCTCGGCTGGGTCTCTGCTTTAGGGGAGAGCCATCGGTGAAGCAAATCCTTCAAGAGAGAGGTGAATCACTGGTTTCAGCTTCATATTTATGCCTCTCTGGGCCCCTCGGTTCATTTGTACGGGCAGCTGTCCATAAGATTGGCACTGGTGGGCACCAACATCTGAGAGGATTAAAGAAAGCTTTTGTTCTGATCGGGAAAACAAGACACATGAGAAATAGCTAGAGGAGTGTTTCCAGAGCGGCCCTGCGCCCAGCAACAAGGGGTCCCACACATACGTCAGGAGTCACACTAGATGTTCTTGAGAGATTCTCTCATAAACCCCCATCCTAACCCCACAAGGTGGATCTAACCCCCCCTTCATGAAGGAAACGGGGGGCCAGCTGTGAAGGGACATCCTTGAGTCCCTGAGACTGGAACACAAATCTCTCTGCCTTCAAAACCCCAGCTCTGTCCTCCAGACAACCCTGCCTCCAGACAAATGGATATTTATTGACTTGTGCCCAAGTTTGTTCCAGAAAAAACAAGGCAGCTGCAAATAAACATGGATCAACCTGGCCTGTGTGCTCCTGGAAGGGACCAGGCTTGTGTTCCTAAAGTGAAGCGTTTTCTCCTTGCCGCTGTCTCTCCGGGGGCCACAGGGAGAGTCACAGACCTGGTGACCATACATGAAGTTCTAGAATTGACAATTTATTTTAAAACAAGAAATGACTTTAAAATGTCCTAGGAAATACTTTTAATGGGTTGCAAAAACCTAAAAGAGGTTTATAAATCTTTCCATAGCCTAGGTGGTATTTGAGATGAGTGTCCCGGCTGAGCTGAGTTCTAGCCAATGGACAGAGTGGGGGGAGTCCCACCAGGCACTGGCTGAGGTCATGGAGGGAGAAGGCAGTGGTGCTGGGCATGGGCAGGAGACACTGGGCATGTCAGGACCACACTCCAGAGGGCCTCAAGAGTAATGGGGGACAATGAAGGGTTTGCAGCAGGGCCCCATAAAACTGGAAGAGCTCATCATCAACATGAGTGGGCTTCACTGTGAAATGTACACCAAACTGGGGAGCCCAGACAGGGAGACAGACCAGATGTAGAGTGCTAGCTTGCCCTAGGGAGGTGGCACTGGGAGTTGATAAGGCCTCCTGGGATGACTCTGGGCCTCTGGGACAGCTGTGCGGCCCTTCATGTGAAGTCTAGAGGAGGAACGAATTTGGTGGGAAAGATGATGCACTTAGCTTTTTACATGTCAGACTTAAGGTTCTTCAGCACATCGGGTGGAGAAAAGCCAATTGGCTGGAACAGATGGCTACAGAGCTCAGGAGAGACCAGGGACGGGGACAGGATGAGGGTGTCTACTGCTGGTGAGGGAAGGTGGGAGCTGTGGCCTGGCGGGAACTCCAGGGAGAAAAAGCCCAGTGAGAGAGGAGGAGAGGGCCAAGAACCGAGTCCGGGGAAGTCTACATTTAGGGTACAAGACAGGAAAGAGGAGAGAGCAAATGAAATAAGAGCCACATTGGGTCCTGGAGGTCAAGGGGGATGAGAATTTCAAGGATGATCGAGTGGTCAGCAGCTTGGTATGGTGCCGGAAGTTGAGCCCTATCAGATCTGGAAACACAGACTATTAAAGCTGGAAGGGCATCAAAGACAAGTCAGGACAAGACATTCCCTTTCTTCTCTTCCTCCCTCCCTTCCTTTCTTTTCCAAGCTGGGGCCTTTTCTTTGGAGGCAGGTTTATGTGGAGCCCCACTATGTAACACATACAAAAGGTGAGCTGCTCTGTTGCAGTGGGTTCAGAGGCCTGGGTCCCCATCTGTCCTACCCCCATCTGCTGCTAGCTCTCTCTACAGGACCCAGGAGCAGGGTTTGAAAACCTGATCTCCCTGACCTGAGCCATTGCCTTCCTTTTCTTGTTTATCAGGTTGTTTAATTTGCAGTGTGTGTGTGTGTGCGTGCGTGCACATGTGGGTAAGCAAGTATATGCGTGCTCATGAGAAGCCCTGCTGGGCTGCCTGGTGGAGGTGCCCTGGGGAGCCTCTATCTGAGACCTCAGGGACACCGCTCCTCCTGAGGTGCTGTTGCTGGCCTCAGTTCACCAGGGCAGTGTGGGGTCTTGCTCTGAGAGGGCAATTCCAGCCCCTCACTTACTAGCCTCTCACTGGAGGCTTCCCTGCCTAGAAGTAAGCTCAATACCCGTTTGAAGGCATGAGAACAGTCTCGATGGCTGTTACAGCTACGCAAAGTGCAGCGGATGCTGGTGTTGGGTGGGTCCCCGGGGCAGTTCTGTACCTTATTCGAGAAGTTGGGCTCCGCCATGTACTGCTTCTCGTTCTCAGTGGCACCTTCGACGGTGATGAAGAAAATGTTGATTCCTGACTCTCTTGCGAACCTCGAAGCCTCCTCCACCTTGTCCGTGGGCCAGCCGTCCACAATCACCACGGCCACGTTGGGAGCACTGCCTCTGTTCCCATTAGCTTTGGAAAAGAAGTTCTTGGTCATGTAGGAGATGGCCCGACCTGGAAGAAACCGAAAACTCATGCGTGGAGTGACCGTGATCACATGGCTTGGAAATAGGGGCTAGATCCCAGCGACTTCCAGACGGCCAGAGAAACCCTCTCATACTCTCCCTTTGCGTGTTTCTCTTTTTTCCTTTTTTAAAACCACATGAACTATTTTGAGGTGTACAGTTCAGTGGTCTTATGCACATTCACATTGTACAACCATCACCACCATCCGTTTCCCTCCCCCATTTCACTTTAGGCCTTTCACTTCTAATTCTCTATTATTATAAAAAAAAAAAAAAAGAGTCTTAGGGACCAGCAAACAGATGAGAAAGGCTTCCATGGGAGTAAGAGGGTCCCTTCTTTGCTGGGTGCTCGAAGTGCACAAAGCTCTTTCTGGGAGTACGGGGTAGGAGCGGCTGGCCTTGAGTGACAGGAGCCTCTTCTCGGCCTCCTGCAGCTGGGGCTTGGCCAGCCTGGGGCTCCAGGGGCTGCGGGGTGTGGATGGCTGTATTCTAGGTGCAGTGGCGTCTTCTGTCCAGTTCCATGGGAGGGGCACGGGTCCGGCTGGCCAGGGAAGCGCGGTACTCACTGAGAACTGAGGGACTGCGTTCCAGCCCTGGCTGTGAGGACCCAGGCAGCCCACTTCAGATTTCCATTTCAGCAGAAAGCCACAGCTGGGAGGTGTAACAGAGCCCCCAACATAGCTTCCCAAAGCACTTGTTTCACACTATCTAGGACCTCAGGAGTTTCTCACTGAAGGAGGGGGACCAACTGACCCAGTTTACTGGGCCTCTCCCAGTGTAAGCGCTGAAACCCCATATGCTCCGGGGTAAATTGGGATGACCAGGTCCACAGATCCCTGTCTTCTTATTTGCAGTTATGCTAACTCTAGTGTAATCTTACCTGGTAAATGACAGGATCAAATAGTTACATACGTACGAGCTGGAGAAATGGCTTGGAGACCCCACGTGATCGGGCTGCATAGAGCACAGCCGCTAAGGGGAAACAGCCGCTGAGAAGAGAACTGCCTTCACAGCCAAGGGATAATGTCCCTGGAGGCCCAAGGCATCCAGCAGGCCCCTCTGGCTGAATGTTGGATGCCTGTAAACAGAGCACACCCCTGGCCTCACCCAGTCTTAAATCTGGAGGTCACAGTCCACTAGTGCTCAACCCCAGATCCCATCCACCTTCCAGCATGTCTTGAAAGCTGAGGCCAGAACTCCGAAAACCACATTGTTGGGACTCCCTTGCAGCTACAGCCCTGGATTTGTGCTAATTTCATGAATCAATGCGCACACATGAGATTTAGAAGAGGGAAGCGAGGCAGAGACCGTATGTACTTTTGACTCTGCTATTTCTGCTGCTGAGCATCTGTAGGGTACTTGACTTCTCTGGGTGGTGCTAGAGGAACCTATGTCTGGTCTCTAGCTTTGTTGCTGTTGGGGTGGGAGGGTGCAGAACGTGCATTTTGTGGGTGTGAATGGAAAAGGCAAGGCCTGGTTTGGGGGCTGACGGCTGTAGCAGAAGCCCTCTGATTGTGGGGCTTCTTGGCAGAGTCAGATTCCCAAAGAGGCTGTGCTGGCAGAATTGAGAATGCAATTTCCTGATCTCGGAAGAAACAGCAGCTCCTTAGAGGTCCAGACTCTGCAGGAAGCCATCAGAAGTCATCTCTCAAAGTTCAGCCTCGAGCTCATTCTTCAGCCCTTTTGATTATTCTCAAAACCATTTAGTACCTAAGAATAAATCCCTCTCTGCTTCAACTGCTGAAATGGATCCTGTTCTCTGAACCCAAACCCTGATCAGTACAGGGCAGAAACAGAATATGCTATCCCCTAAAAAAGGTATATGATTTTATTAAGACACCACTCTAATCCCATCAAGGATAAGGATATAGGGTATCTTCTGAAGTTTCAGTCTTATTCCATGATTCATTACTGGAATGTCATTGATTTAAGTACTCAATCGAAAACAAATCAGAAATCAACTCTATCATGTTTAATACGAGGTGATATTGATTTGGGGTCCTGGATAGCAGTGACTTGGCCAATGTTTTTTTAGCGTTTTGCAAAGGCTCTTCATTTTCAAGATACTACTATACTGGTCTACAGAGATGTACACTGTATCATATTTACAGTAACTTCAAAGATGTTTCTTCAAAGACAGGTCTGTGTGCACTCTATGCCAAGCCACCGCGGCTCACTTCTCCATTTCTTTGGATGTTGATGATACAAAGAGGTTCCCTGAGAGGCAGACAGCTGTCCCAGTGCCCCCAAAGCCAGACCACCATTTATGAATTGGTAGGTTGGCACACTCACTCACTGGCTCACTGGCAGCCTCTGAGCTTGGTTAGTGTGAAACTGTTTCCCAATGGCTGGTTAGATCCTGGTGAACTGATAAAATGGTGTCTGGACCTGCCCCATGCCGGCTAGACTTGGACTTCTGGTAAACCCACCACCCCACCTCCTAGCCAACAAGGCTCGGACATCTCGGGAGACTCAGCTTGAAACAAAGAACCTGTCTCTCTTTGTACAGCCGTCACTGTAACAGGAGCTCATTGGAAGAAGATCCCCAAGGGGCGCTGTGGAGCTTTCTGAGTGGAATTGGTTATAACATTTAATGTTACATACTTGATGACTTGTCAGCCAACCAGGAAACAGTTATAATAGCAGTCCTGCTTGTCCCAAAGAAAGCTGCCAACCCGAGGAACCAGGCATGCTGGAACTCTCCAGCATACGTGTGATAATGATTCTTGCCCCTAAATTCGATGATACTTTAGAAAAAATACAAATACTATGTGAGTCATTTCTTGATGGATTATTACTATTTTTTCACACAGAGGGAGAACCGTGGAAGCAAAATAGAATGATGTGAATTCGGATCGCATACCTGCGTTAGAAAGTCCTCCTCTCTGGGTGATTTTCTCTATGGCCGTCTTCAGATCCCGGGAATTCATGTGAGTCCTGAGGTTAAATTGGGCAGCAGGGTTGTCTCTGAAGAGTGAGAATCAGAGAAATAAAAATTAGCTGGGAAGTTATTATCTTTGGAGGAAAGCAGAAATCAGAGTCAATTCTTTTTTTTTAAAGATTTTATTTATTTATTTGAAAGAGAGAGTGAGAGAGAGAGCGCAAGAGGGGGTAAGGTTAGAGGGAGAAGCAGACTCCCCGCCGAATAGGGAGCCCGATGTGGGACTCGATCCCGGGACTCCGGGATCATGACCTGAGCCGAAGGCAGTCGCCTAACCAACTGAGCCACCCAGGCGCCCCAGAGTCGATTCTTTTATATACAAATAGAATGGAAGCCGCTTCAAAGCCTTAAGCTGCATTTTATAAAATGCCCAACTGTGGACAGAAGTAATGTCAGATGGGAGGGCTGGGGTCTTCCTCAGTGTGTGTAGAGAAAAGTGGTCTGTGCCAGGCCTCAGGGTTCTAGTTTTGATTGTGCTGCTTCCTCGCTGTGTGACCTTGGGAAGTCACTTAACTTTTCTGGGCTTCGGTTTCCTCATCTAGGTAAATGCAAAGATCACAGCATTCACACTGCTAAAAAACAGGATGACTGTCAAGTGGGATTTTGCAAATGTCAGCGTGTCCCCAGGCTGCCCCAGACCCTCCTCTCCAGGGAGAAAATTCTAGCTGATAGCCACTCCCTGGGTTACCCCTACACTGGAATTGCATCTTAACTGTGGTGTCTAAGAGAAGACATCCCTTCATTTTCTCATTTTATGGTTCCTGTGACTGGGTGAGAATATTCACATCTTACCCAAAAGGTTAACATCTATTAACCAAAAGGTCGGCTGGAGAGGAGGTGGAGTAAATTAAGTAGAGAAACAGAATGAGAATCCTTTTCTACAGAGGAGTCTCTGCGGGTAAACTGGGCAGATACGCACGGGAGCAGCCGGGCAGAGGGTGTGGATGCATTTTATGACCAGGTGGGAAGGGGGCCGGGAGGGAGGGGGGCTTGGTCGGGTGGGTGTGTGCTCTCACACCCATGACGAAGTGGGGATGCACAGCAGAAGCATATCTCATAAAGCGCTGACACTTAGCTATTGGCAGGCTTCAAGCGAGTGTGACCTCTAAGGTCCCACAGGACCCCGCACTCCAGAAGAGCCTGCACTTGGTTCCATGCTCTCATGTTGCCATCTTGAAATCCTTAATGTTTGAAGCTAGGGCTCTGCAAATTATGTAGCAGGTCATACCTGCAGGTGTCTAAGCCTTCGAGGGGAGGGAAAAGACTTCTTTAAAAAAATAGACTCCACACCCAGTGTGGAGCCTGAAGTGGGGCTTGAACTCACGACCCTGAGATCAAGACCTGAGCTGAGATTAAGAGTCGGCTGCTTCACTGACTGAGCCACCCAGGTGCCCCCCCCACTTTTTTTTTTTTTTTTTTTGTGAGGGCAAAGACTTTTAAAAGCAGCCTTTCCACGAACACCGGGAATAGGTCTCGGGAGAAGCAGCTCTAGGCAGTTTAGGTGGGAATTCCAAGGGGACTTATAGTGGATTCTTAGCAAGTCCTTGGGGGGACCTGGCAGCGTGGTCACCAGGAAACCAGTTCCCTAGGACTGAGAGGAGACATCCTCTGCCTCTCTCCCCGCTTCCCTCCCCTGCTCCATCCCTATTTTCCGACTTTTCTAGCTATCTCCAGGTGATTGATCTCTGTCAGAGGAGAACTCCTGGAGGCTGAAGTGTGACCCTCTGTCCTCCCCTTTATTAGTAAATATGAGGGACATGGGCTGGTTCTGAGACAAAACCAAAGCGAAATTCCCAGCAGGCATGCTTATCTCTGTGAGAGGGGTTGGGAAACTGGGAGGACCAGCTCCCTTTGGGGAAGACAAGGGAAGTTTAAAAGAAGCTCAGGGAGAAGGGTGTTGGGGCCAAACCCAACCAGATGAAATGCCACCAGATGAAAACCAAGGATTCGACAGAAACAAACAACAATAATGACAAAGCCAACTGCAGAATGAGGAAACGTGGGCATGTTAGCTGAGTCCGACCTTCCTCTCAACCTGTGTGCGGGGTGAAGCCTCGTGAACTGGGACTGCAGTAACACAACCCCTGTGCAGGTCACACAGAGGAATCGCACAGAGAGGGAGCTCTATTGCTCAAAGGCTTTCGGGTTTATATTCTTTACAGATCAGTATCAGCGAATGCTGAACTTGCCCCCAAGCCATCAAGACTCAAAATGTGGGCTCCATCTTTACTTGCTCGTCCTAGGGCCTGTGAGTCCTGTCAGTAAAATCCTGTAAGTCCCTCTGTCCAAGATCACTTGCTTTTATCCCTCCTCCATATGCCTGCAGCGACCCTCTGAGTTCAGGCACCTTACTTCTTGCTGTTTCTATTGTAATCATATTTGGTCTCTGGAGAGCCAACTGTATGCATATCTGCTTAAAAAAACTCCTCCTCTACTCAAAAATCATCAGAGGCTCCCATTGTTAAACTTCATATTTTGGCTTTCAAAAGCCCATCCATAATTTAATTCCAACCCATCACGTTCATATGGTGCTCTCTGTCTCCATCTCGGTCTCTCCCTCTCTCTCTCTCAGGATAGCCTATATTCTAGGCAGAATGCGTGGCTCACTATTTCCTGGTTTTCTAGCTAGCTTTGTGTCCTTGCTCGTGAATCCCCTCATCTGGAAAACCCAAATGTGCCCACCCTCCAGATCCAGCTCCCTGTCGCCTCCCTCCTGCCCAGCTTACAGCCTCTGCACCTGACGCTGCTTCTCTAACCCACAACACCTTACACAGCCCATAGCACCTGTAGGCTCTCAGTAAACAGTACTGAAGAAACACACATTTCTTCTTTCTTCTTCTGTGCATCTCTATATCTAAATGCTGGCATTGCCCAGGGCGTATCTCCCCCTCATGCCTCCCTCTTCAATGTATGCACTTCCATGGGAGAGCTCATCAGTTTCAGTCTCCTGGGCTTCAGAGACCATTCACATGCCAACAGCTGTCCAGTGCACATTGGCCGGTCCTCTCTCTTGAACCCCAGATAGACATAAAATGACTCCCATCCATCTCCATCCGGATGCACTGGGTGGTGCCTGGAGGTGGTCCACAACCATCTCAGGTTTGGTATTTCCAATACTGAACTCATATATCTTCCAAATCTGCTCCATCCAACCACCCATATTCCCTTGTATTCCCTCTTCTCACTCACTGTCATCCCAGCAGAATGCATTGTGGTGAGGCTTTCTTCATCAAATGCCATGTCCTGTCAGACCAACCTCTTAAATATCTCTTGTCTCTCTTGCATCCTTTCCATCCTCATGTTTGGACTTTGATCTTTACTTTCTTGAACTATTGCTATAGCTTCCTACCTGGTCTTCCCAGAGCGGCCTCTGCAGGGGACCTTTTATTCAATAGGCTGTCATGCTGATCAGAGGCAAATTAACCTGGGAGCTAATAATACCTCTTCCAAGGGGCCTAATTTTGTATTTGTAATTTTGTGCTCTTTTTCTTAAAAGGACCCTCGAACTGCATAAGCTTCAGAGTTCCCAAAGTCTTGCTCTTCCCTTAGTGACCAAAGAATATGAACTTTCTCAGGGCCTAAAAAAATAAAATATGAGTCGAGCCAAAACAAACAAAATATTATTGGCTATAAAATGAAAAGTTGCAAACTTGATATTGTCAATAGTAAGTATGTAATTGTCGACCAAACATTAACACAACATCCAGTTCATTAATTGTAAAATTTTAAACTCATAAAACTTGAATACATTTGAAAATGATTTGTGGGCTAGATCTTCTCCCTTGCAAGATTTCCTGAGTATGTCTGATGATTGTGAAGAAATCATAGCTAATCATAAGCTAATCATTTGCTCATACACAAATAACTTAAAAAGCAAAAATATAAAACTTTTTTCCAAAAGTTTTTCCAGATAAAAATGTATTTAAATGTAGAACTTAGTCAGTCACATCCGTGGCATTCCCCCGAATGCTGCTGAGGAGGCTTAGTATTGAACACTTTGCAGAGCAATCGATTACCTGTCTCTTTCCCATACAGCCAAGTCTTATTCGCAGTAGTTACGTTCTATAAAGTTGCTGCAAACATCAAATTAGCAAATACTGAATCATTGCTCCTAGGGGAAATATTGGCTTAGGTTCCTGTGGGCCTCTGGTCATGACATTTTTGTCAGTAGATCAATATATAAACTTATTTTATGTACATTTCTGTTGGAAGACACCTAATTTAATGTATATTTGTTAAAAATAATTAATCACATGCAATATTTCTGTTTAATAAAACACCAGCTGAGAAGGGTTTAACAGCTTTCTGACCCTGGATAATGTTACTATAAATTTCCTTGGCTCTTAACTTCACAATCCTGTCCACTATATTGTGGTTGTTGTTTTTCACATCAGTTGTCATTCATGAATTCATAAGTTCAGCTACTTCTCTGTAGCTTCATCAGGCATTCTAGTTATTACTTTAGCATTTTCTAGAGCAGAATCACATACAGATCGGTGGTTTTCATTTCTTTTTCTGAAAGTGCTGAATCATTGGTTCATTGACATTGAACTCATGCCTGAAGGAAACCTGTTGAGCAGTTGCCGTTTCTCCATAAGTACCTCATAGCCTTCTTGTGCTTAGAACACGAGAGAGCTTTCCAGCACTATACTTGGGGGCCATTTAAAATAGTGAAATCACCAATGAAAAGCACAAAAATAGGAAAAATGTGGCACTAAATAGATTGCGACGAAGAGACTTGTTAACAGTATGGCAGCTGAAACAAGAAGGCAGAACATTACCTTGTTTGACCTCGGCTGGGACCGTGCTTGAAGCAGCTCAAATCCCACCCCTATGCCGTGCTAGTCTGCAGATGGCTATGAAAGTACCATGAGAATTTGCTTGCAAATATGGAAGCCACAAGTCATGAAGATTGACTGTGACTATTTGAAAACAGGCTCTATGTCCTAGTGTTTCCTATCCCTAGTGCTTAGCATACAGGGAATTAAACAGGTAACTGTGGAATAAATAAATGAGGAAAGCTCAA